CCAATTAGTTGCCCATTAGCGTCAAGAGAAGGCAGCCTGCGCGCGAGCGCATGATATGTGAATTAGTCCCGGCGGCGCACGCCAGGTGCCGCGGCGATAGAGTGACTTCGTGACGGTCGATTGCAGCGCTCAGCTTCCGTCCCACGCGGATCTGCGCCGGTGGAACAAAAGCCTGTGATGATGGTGATCGGGGCGCTGGAAAAGGGTGACTGACGTGTGACTCACGACTTAGGTGGGAACGTGTGAGGTATATGTGGAGGAGGAGTGCGGTATTACAGGTCATGCTGAGGAAGGGTTTATTTGCGATGTAACGGCAAACATCTCGCTGTTTCAGAACATCTTATATTCGATTTAGACACTTGATTTTGATGAACGTTTTAGGTTGGTTGATTGTTATTTCGTGATTTCTGGTGCATCAACTGCTTTTGCCATTAACTTCACAAATATTATGCATATTTTCATAATGGGGTTGGGGTCCGTCCTCAGCTTGATGGTTTTCCCCAACCAGGTATCTCCCGCCAGCAGGTCACCGCTCCAGCCCGGCAAGATCTAAGCTCCACATCGGTTTTCCGGCATGTGAGGTAGTGTAGTGCATGTTAGTAAGTGTTAAGGGGGTGACGATAGGGCAAGGAACAGTCAGTTACGGTACTGCTCATAGGGTACAGGATATTGACATTCCATTGCTTGCGGGTGATTTCCCTTTTGAGGGATGTCCCCCCAGAGGGACTCGCCCCTGCTGGAGTAAGCTCTGAATTGATGATTGATTGTCAGAGATTTCGGCCACATCAACTACTAAATCCCGTAAGTGTAGTTAATATTTCTTCCTCGGGAGGTGGAGGTGACCTTCCCCAGCTGGATGACGAGATGCTGCGCCGACCTACCGTCGACTAGTGGGATTTCCCCAACCTGGCATATCCCACCAGCGGGGCACCGCCCCACCTGCGACAAGCTATTGTAACGTATTAGCCAGCCGTGCCCTCGTGGTATCTATTTGGGGACGCTTGGTAGAGATTAGCCTCGCCACAGGAAGGAGAGAAGCGGTTATCCGTAAAGGCGAAGAACGCGGAAACGGGAGACACAAGGCTTTGGGGTCTTCCGGCTTATAGAAACCTTTGCTGTTATAAAAAGCGAGGGGGGTGGCGTGACGTAGTAGGTCAGCGTGGGCCTCGCCCTATATAACGGGAGTGTAACATGAGCCAGTGGTGGGTTCTGGAGACAGTGAAGAGAACTCTGCATGTGGCATAAAAACTTGGCGCCACGACGGTGGCATATGCGAGACAGGCTCGCGAGGCTCGAGTCCTGCGGACTTTGACGAAGCCCCTGCGGAATTTAGGTCCTTGGGTGACGGCGGGTCATGGGGGAGCGATGGCTGTGTGCGTGCTCCGAGGTGAAGAGTGGTTTGAGTGCCACGATTCACGCCGATTCTCAATCGATAAGATCGCTCCTGCGATCCGAGGCAAACCAGCCGTTGTGCGCAGAAACGGACTTTGTGTCCCAGCGTGCACATCCGGTTCACGGAAGCTAGGCTTTGTGCGCGCTTCAAAAGTCGGAGTGGCGAAATGCCACAATCAAACCATCTTGCAAATCGGGTTTGGATCGCTCCAGCGATCAGGGGATAGTAGGCTATGCAGAGCTAGGGTGTAAGTAGATTATTAAGTGTATATATTTGTTTTTGGTTTTCTTGTTAATAAATATATTTTGGATATTTGTTATATGAAAGCTGCTGTGTGTGGTCGCTGTGAGTATCCATGACGTCAACAGCTATATTCTCCGACTAGTCTCCATGGGCGGGGCGGCAATGTGTGTGTAGTCGAGTGTAAAGTGTAAGTGTGTGTAATAGAGGTGAGGATAGGACAAGGAAGAGGAAGGAAATATGGTACGCGTGCGTGGACTCGTTTGGTTAGGGTACTGGCTCCGGCATTCGCTGGTAATGAATGCAATAAACCACGGAAAAACTACCGATATGAGCTGCCAGCATCTACCAGTATCCTCCTCACTGCCCCGCTGAATTCTTCCGAACTGCGACATCGAGATTTGGAACCCTAGAACCCCCCCCCCGATCATAGAGTCGCTGCAACGTCCAGCGGCAATGCCTGGTCCTGAGCTACGCTCCGCGGGCACTGTGCGCGCGGGCATCGTCGGGCGTGTTGGGTGTGTCGGCGCCACCCTGTGGGTGTGTGAGCGTGTCGGCGGTCGTGGGGCGTGAGGGCCACTGCTCACTCTCCCGCTGTGGGCGTGCGGGGGTTGTCGCCCCGTGTGCGATGAAGCGCGTCCTCCGCGCTCCGGCAGGGCCGGGCTGACGCTGCCCAGCTGCCCCCCGGGCCACCGCACACACCGCGCTGATTAGCGCGCCCGTCGCTGGATCGGCGCCCACAGTCTTATTGGGGCCTTTGTGGCCGCCCGCCGCACCACACACCCGCACCGCCCCACACACCGCGCCGGCGCCTGCGCAGCTCCCTCTGCGGACACTGGCGGACACCTCCCAGCGCTAGAACCTAACAACACTGACCACACCACACACAACACGACACACAGACACACACCACACACCCATTTGACACACCACACCCCCCTAACTAAGCACCGCTCGAATAATCGGCATAACACACACACAAAAACGAAATAACTAACTAACTAACTAACTACTAACTAAATAACTACTACTAAATAAATAAATAAAATAATAAATAATTAATAAATAAATAATAAATATAATAAATAAATAAATAAATAAATTAATAAATAAATAAATAAATAAATAAATAAATAAATAAAATAAATAATAAATAAATAATAAATAAATAAAATAAATAAATAAATAAATAAATAAATATAATAAATAAATAAAATAAATAAATAAATAAATAATAAATAAATAAATAAATAATAAATAAATAAAAAATAAATAAATAATATAAATAAATGAAATAAATAAATAAATAAATAAATAAATAATAAATAAATACATAATAAATAAATAAATAAATAAATAAATAAATAAATAAATAAATAAATAAAATAATTAATTAATTAAAAAATTGTGCGCCAATGCTGTTATAAGGGTTCTAATATTATTCCATAATCTATTTATTAGGAAGAGATTTTATGAAGGGTAAACTCTTTTTTTTCTTACTAGGGCTTTTTCTAGCGCGCAACCGTTTAATCTTTACCTCTCGATGGGACGAAAATTCGACCATACATTAGACACCAACACACTTGCGGGCTACTCTGTCCTGGGGTCAGCAGAACGCGACACCGGCCCACCGCGACAACACATACATGAGACACAGGGCAAAAATAACCATTGCGAACGCGGGACGTGAAGCGGCGATCCTTCGGACCGAAGCCCTGAGACGGTCTTAATTCGGCCTTAATTCGGACTTCATTCGACCATCAAGGTCGGCGAAAAAAAATCACTATCTTTAATATTTTAGTTGTTGGAAGACACGGCAAAAGTGTTCTCTGCCAAGATTTTTCTGCCAATAATTTACCATTTTTTCGCGCAGCAACTTTTTCTTTACTGTGTAAGCGGTAGTGAGATAGTAAAATCATAGTAAATAAATCAATAAGTGAATAAATAAATCTTAAAAAGAAAAAAGAGATATAATAATCTCTAGAAACAATCCCGGATTGCCTTGGTTCCTAAAACGGAGCATTTTAGCACCTCAATTCAAAATATGGATTCAATTTCCGATTCGGGTAAGAATATACTATATACTGAATGAGACTTTCAAGTTGAATTTATTCAATGCAATTTTCTGAGTATATTCCCCCGTTTGGGGGGATGCAACGACTGTAAGCAAAAACGTGTTATTATCGATGTTATGATCGAAACCTTCGTTGGTTCTTTAGGTCTCTGGAAATCAGCACCATTATTCTTAAGATTTTTTTGTCTGTTGGCAGCAATTCACGTTCTTCTTCTGTTTGATACCGTTGTATACAAGCTAAAAGAGTTGTTTGAAAATATTATTATTGCATATATCTACATAGTGATTTTGTGTCTGTTCGACCCAGCGTACCAACCAGGTAAGTTTATTTTGAGTGACAGTTGAACAGCATGAATACCAGACTTTGACAAAAAGGGACTTTTTTTATTTATGTAAGGTCAATAAAAGTCAATATTTTTATGGAACGTTTTATGGAATATTTTTATGGAAATAATATGTGTTTAAAGAATCATGCTACATTCCTTTGTCAAGAATGTATCTAAAACATTATTTTTGATCAAGAACTATTCTTTTATATTTGCCGTAATGTTTACCAAAACATGTAAACAATTATTTGTGTCCAGAGTCTAAGTAGTTCAAATAATTATATTATTTCAATTCCCAATTAAATCTCTTATTTCTATAGATAAATTTCTGCTAGAAAAACATTGGGTCTGTGATACCCAGAGTACCACCCATGAAGGAATCAAGCTTCGTACCAACAAAGGGTTAACGGTAATTTCGGAATTTGAGGTCGAGTACAACTATGTGTGGAAAATTTGCTTTGAATGATACAGTACTTAAAGGAAGTTTAAAAGTTTCAATATAGAATTATTGCATAGTTTGAAGGAAGCATATCGACTCCATTAAATTCGACAAAATTTTCTACCACTCAATTCCAATCTTTTTTGTATTTCCTGTGACAAGGCTGTCCGAACATGAAAAATTGATAATTTACTACCAAACAATGTAGAACGTACATACAATGTGCTAGCCGTGCGTAATCATCTGCGTCTCTTACATGTATTGCTTTTTTCAACTTTAAGGAGCACGTTCTCTTTTAAAATTCCCGCTTATCAAGATGTTCCATGACATTTGGCATCCACAAAATGGATAGAAATTCAGTGCATCACAGAACTTCATGCAAACTTCGAGTTCAGGCCAGGCGAGGAAGATAATTATGTGCATTATTTATAATCCTCGTGTGTTGGTATTCTTCGACCGGGACATCTTTGTCACGTAATTTCTTGACCATATCGAGAGACAATGGAGTGAATATGAATAGGTTAGAGCAAAAATGTGCTTTAATGAAGCGGAAACTAAGTGGTGGGACGTAGTCAGTTAAATTGTCTTTTGTGAACCGTGAAGTGATCTTTCCTAGTGCATTCAGTTACACATAACATGTTAGTAGTGCTTCAATGGACTCCACAAATCGAATATAACAGTTTTCATGCATTGTAACACTAAATGAGATCAAAGAATTGATGAGTAATTTATATTGTTTTCTCTTTTCAAAATGTGTATGTAAGTGATAAGTTGAAATCATTCATTGTGGTTGAAAATGAACATTCTGCACAAAGCGACTAGAAGGTAAGTAATAGCACAGAATAATTATATGGATTAAGAGATGAGTAGGAAAATATTAACAAAGATGGGAGTAGTGATCTGGCAAGATTCTCCTGGATGAAAATAAATATGTGGATAATGGAAAAGCTGATTGGGATGCAGAAAGAGAGACTTATTTTGGTAAAAATAATTATACATGACTAGGGAAATGGATATTGAAAAGGAAAGATTTGAAGGAAAGGCATAAAGAAATGCAAGCTAAATTTGGTCTGGAAAGGCTATGTAGAGACTAACATAAATATTATAAATACAATGACTTGGTTAAGGCCAGTTTATTTAAGAAACAAATGAATCAGAGGACAAAAATATAATTGCTTGATCCATGAAATAAGTTGAGGACAGAATACATTGATTAAAAGAGGAGGATAAATTTTGCAGGATATACAGCTTTTGAAAAGTAGGATTGGGAGCACAGTTTGGAATAGTGTAAGCAAGTTATATGAAACGTTAATAAACATAAGTGCATAGATAGAGTAAAGAATATTTTAAACGATAATGTGGAAGGTTTCAAGTGTCAGAAAGGGATGTGTATGGAAATATATAAGGAGGGGGAAGAAAATATTTAAAAAAAACACAGTAAGATAGTATGAATGAGATGAAGTTCTTCAAAACTGGTTTAAGGAATTTAGAGCATGATTATTTGTGTTAATATTAAATTTATTGAACATTGAATTCACAGCAATATATACATACCCTATTACATATATTTAGACCTCTGTTTTGCCAAAACCTTGTATCATCTGACAAGAAAAATAAATTATTTAATACTAAAGAGGAAATAAAATTATGTTAAGAAATATTACATTGCGCTTTTTTTTGAGAAACTCTTCTTAATTTTTTTTTATTTTGCTTCACAGTATTTTTTAAGAACTGATTTTCATTATGTTAAGCTGGCTTTCGACAAGTAGTCTTTCTGAGGTTTCTATTGCCCTGTAAATTCAACTTTGGGTATGGGTATTGATATCATCATGGTTGAATATAACGTTTTCTGGAAATCTAAAAGCAATTTTTCTAGTTATGAACGTAATTTTGCAAATAAGAGATGATTTAGTTTTAAAATTTCATTCAAAGTGGTATTTCTAAATTGGTAATGTATTGTTACATTTTAACACATAATAATGTAATATAATTTTATTATCTCTATTTGTATTATATTACAGAAAAAATGTCAAAATGTCCCATGTCAGATATAGAGTTGAGTTGAAGGGATTGTCTTCGCAGATGTTAAAACCGGTTGGCGAGCCTGAAATCTCTTAGGTAATATTTATTATTATTATTATTATTATTATTATTATTATTATTATTGTTGTTGTTGTTGTTGTTGTTGTTGTTGTTATTATTCTTGGCGTATAGACCATTACTGACCACGCTACGTAATTAACGTGTTCAATTTTTCTAGGATCAGCTTTTTAGCTGAATCTTTCAATACGACATGGTTGTTGTGCCTTGAAGTGTGAATTATGAGATGAAGGGATGATGATGATGATGATGATGATGATGATGATGATGATGGCTTGAGGGCTGCCCCAACCGTCTGCTCCACGGGGCCGACATCTTTGTCATTATTATTATTATTATTATTATTATTATTATTATTATTATTATTATTATAGACTTATTATTACATTTTATTATTTTACCACCAATCTGGGAGGCAGATGTCATGTCCTTAATGTTAAATGTTTGGCGTGATTGATAAATACCTACGAGTATGTGCTACTCATTTGACTTGTTAATTTTTTACGATAATTTCGACGGGGTAATCAAGCTTTTCAGCCAGTGACTTATTGCAACAATTAAAAGCGAGAGGGTGTAGCCTCCAAATTACTAGTTCAATCCATTAATCAGTCGTATCCACCATTCTTGTGAATACATCCGTGCTCCAGATGGAGATGCAGTAGGTTTGTCGACCCCATCTCCTCCCCTACCCATTGCGCTGTCCTTCTTAATTGTTGGTCTTAATCCAGTGGCTGCGAGCTTGTCGAATCGGTAGCCTACAGAAACAGGTCGGCATTGTTCCATAAACCTTTGTGCCAGCGTCTCGTTATACCATACCGTAGTGATTTTTTCATTAGGTATGTTTTGTTCTCATGGTATTCATTTTCCTTTTCCTAGATATTAAATGTTTGGATCATAGATGTTTAAAAAGCTTTTAAAACGTATTTTATTCACGCCTCATGAAATGTTTTATTAGTTTCATCCAATGAAAATAATTCGAGGCATATTCGTTTGCTACGTAATAACGAACACAATATTTCGTTACAATATGACGAAGTTTGCATTTAACGAAAGGTTGAAAGAAGAGTAAAATATAAACAAAAAATGTTCAATAAAATTAAAATCCATGTGAAATTAAATGTATGGAATCATACACATATGTATTTTTTTACAATTCAAACCTTACAAACAATTTTCAATAATCTTATACGAAAATTATTTTCTATTCAGAGAGAATGCCATTGATGAATTAGTTATAAAAATTAACATAGAATGGAAATTTTATCGAAACTCTTGGCAACAACGGATCAATTTTATTCCTGATTGTTCGATCAGGGTTATACAACTTACTGTACAAGTGAAACCGTAAGTTCGGCGTGTACAATCTGTTACAGCATTTACCGATAATTTGACGAGACGAATAGTGGCATGTGACTACATAGAAAATTCAGGAATTACAGTGTGCTTGCAGACTAGTTCACAAGTAATGTGAAATATTCTTGTCTTCCACTTTTTGTCTTTTCTGTCTTTTTCTACTCCTAGTCCTTCTTTTCTTCTCATTTCCCCTCTCCTGCTTCACCTTCCCATTTTCCTCTTTATTACGCTTTCTCCTTCCTCTCTTCACTCCTCTTGTTATCGTTCTATCTCTTGCTTCCCTTTATCCTTCCCATTCCTCTCATTCCTACTTTTCTTCCCATTCTTCATCTTAATCTTCATCGTTCTCTTCATTTTCTTCTAGTCGTCGTCCTTATTATCCTTGTCTTCCCCCCTTCTCCCCATCCTTCTCTTTCTTCCTTTTCTTCTTCTATCTCCTAATCCAACTTTATTCTTTTGCCTCTGCTGTTGACGAACAAAGAGGTAATTAGACAAAAGCGACGGAGAATTACATTCCGAATTTTTAAACGCCCTTGACCAAAAGCACTCGACTGAAATACAATCGAGGAAAGACAAAGGAAAGGGAACACGGAAAGATGCTCACGTAATGCACTTGCCGGTATGTCAGGCGGTGCACTTTGCTTGCTCCGCGGCTGCAGTCCATCAGGTGGGCAGCATCTTTACGATTTAACGGTTGCCTTCGGAGATACGTCGGCGCTCGCCTGCGAGCTCTGGCGGCGACGTGCCGAAGCGCCGGCATGGCTTCTCCTCCGCGCCTCTAGCGCAACTGTTGCGGCCGGGAGAGGTGGCTCAGGGCATCAGCTGATGTCACGGCAGTGCCTCTGACTGGGAGGTTCTAGGTTCAAGTCTCCACACTAGCTTGTTAGCTAGGTGAAGTTGTTACTGTCTGGAGGACAGTTCGAGCGGTCGGCTGCTCTGATCGGTAGTTTTCCGTGGTTTCTCCGATCAACAACAGACGAATGCCGGAGCAGTTCCACCTTCCTTTCCTTGTCATATCCTCCCCCCTTACATACACATACACACACACTTACACTAACATGCACTACACTGCCGCACCAGGAGATCGGTCGGGAGCTTAAAGCTTGTCCCGGCTGGGTGCACCGCCGGTTGGAGTTACCTGGTTGAGGAAAATCTCGCTAACCGACAGTAGCCAACGATCTCGCTATCCAGCGAGGGAAGACATCCACCATCTCCCATGCGAAAACCATGCACCACGCTTACGGGATCAATGACAGGCGTTCACGCTCCCTGAATCACTGGTCAATGAATCAAGGAGGCAATTGCGGCGATTGACTGATGATGTCGTGCTGCGCGTTTCATGTGTATGTAATTCGCCACGACTGTGGTCTTATTGAAAGTTTGACGATTATAAATTAATATTGGTTAGAATACATACAATTTCAACCTGAGTTAAATTCACTTAATCTGACTCACTGCTGACCACCCTTCTACATAACTACTCACCAATCGACCTATCCACCAACTCAGTGTATTCTCTCCCGTCTATCTACCTACCTACCTACATATCTATCTACGATCTATCTTTCTATCTACGATCTATCTACAAACTCTCTATCTACCTACCTAACTTCCTCTCCACTCTACCTACAACCTACGTATACATTCGAAGCTGATTTACCTTCCAACAACTCTGTTTACCTACTCACCCACTTACGTCTCTCTTACTCTCGTACCCAATGAAACGACGAGAAACGACGTAAAACTGCAACTGATCAAAGCAGCCAGTCGATAAAATTCTTCTCCAAATGGTGACTGAATTCGACCTTGCTATCTGGCTATCAGTCAGATAGTTAGGTCGAAAGTCAGTCAAATTGTGGCATAGTCAGGACTAGAACCTAGGACCTCCCGATCAGAGGGCCCCCACCCATCTACCTTAACAACACCACCATTCACCACCATCCATCACCATCAACCAGCGTCACCCACCGTCACCCACCGTCACCCACCGTCACCCACCGTCACCCACCGTCACCACCACCGTCACCCACCGTCACCGGATCGAGACCAACAGTCAGTCCCCCAATTCTCTTTCTAGGCCAGGGAACGAAACTCACCGTCACCCACCGTCACCCACCGTCACCCACGCGTCGCCCACCGTCCGCCACCGTCCACCACCGTCACGTGTCACCCGCCGTCACCCGCCGTCACCCGCCGTCACTCCGCCGTCACCCCGCCGTCACCGCTCACCCGGCGTCACCCGCCGTCACCCGCCGACCCGTCACCCGCCAGTTCACCGCCTACACACGTCAATCCCGTCGTCACCCGCCGTCACCCGCCATCACCCGCCATCACCCGCCATCACCCGCCATCACCGCCCATTCACCCGCTACCGTCACCCGCCGTCCACCCGGCCTCACCGGCGGCCGGTCACCCGCCGTCACCCGCCATCACTCCTGCTTCCAGCATCACGCCACATCCGCCTAACCTCCTACTATCCAATCATCCAACCAATCCAAGGCACAATATCAGCCATACATCAGCCCTACCTCTCTGAGCGCCACACCCCGAGCTGCCCCGCTGGGCGAGCGGCCCGGTCCTGTGGCACGCGGCCTACGAGGAAGACTTGGCCGCGCGCAGGCACCGCGGAGCCATCTGCATGCAAACGGCTCGCTCTCAGCAGCGACGCGCACCTACGGCCGCCGACCGCTCGCCCCGGCCCGCGGATGTGTATGCGCTTAATATGCGCCGCGAGCCCGCCGCCCCCCCCGACCCCCCTCCCCCCACGCGCATGATAGCGTCGTTCCCCGCCACGCCCCCGCAGGGCGACGCCGGGAGACATTAGTTGACAACACGTGTCGCTGCCATCGGTTGCATCAGGAGAGTTGCACTCGGAAATTGTAGTGGTTTTATGCCTCGCTCGTCCGCTGAACGTATCACTCGTGAAGTATAACTCGATTCCTCCTTATTTCGAATATTAATTAATATTATTTGTAAATATTAATTAGGTGTCCTTTTCTTTAAATAATTGTTGATTTATATGAAAAGTATTATTAATTTATTAATAAAATATTATCTTACACATACTGTTTAAAATTAAGCTGTTCAAAAACAATATTTGAAATATTTGTATTTTAATATTTTACTACAGCTTCACTACCATTGAAATATTTTTAATATGAAGCAAATACACAACTCTAATACACAAAATTCAATTCAATTCAATTCAATTGGAGATTTAAGTGCAAAAAGTAATGTAAGGTATTAAAAGAAAGGAGAGAACACGGGACATTGATGCTATAAATGTCAAATGTTTAACAAAATATATGGGAATAGGAAATTTCGAGAACGTTTTGAAATTTGAAATCCTTTTTGCCTGACCCGTCAACTAAATTTATCAGTGGTTAAGTCTAGCATCAATTTATCCTTATTTTCATTAGACGTTGTCTCTTATCACAAAATGTCTTTTATAAAGAATTTTAATTAAATTACCTGAAACATGATTTCCATGATTGTTTTGTTGTAGTCGCACGCCCATAGAAATATTATCAAATTGGTGCAATTACACATCAATGAAAAGTGTATTAACAATGTAATTCCCAAAAATATTGTACAAAAGGAGGGGAAAACCCCTTTTAAAAAGTGTTCAATTTGGGAGCAAC